CCTGCTGCTGATTTCAAAGGCAAGACTGCTGACGAGCAGTTCCTTCAAGTGACTATAGGCAGCTCAAGCTGCTGGGAAAAAGCAGGATAGATTGAATAAACTAATCTTCATTAGTAGCACTCAGCAAGGGAAACAAGGGCTTAGAGAGAAGGATCCGGGAGACGAGTGAAATGGAAATCAAGACTTTTATTTTATTAGCTGCATAGGGCTCTGCTCTTTTTAGAGTAAATGAGCTAATTAGAAGTTGGGTATACACAGTGGGAGAATAGGGAAAAGTGAAAGAGCTGAGACTTCACTTCAGTGTTGATTTCATATAATCTAAATATAATGTTAGTATTCTGACTAATTTAAATACTTGATTGCACTTAGCTTGGTAAAATGGTTAGGACTTTGCTGTATTGGATGTGATCCAACTGGGACAGTCTATTTGTCAGACTCAAAAAAGTTGTGTGATGATTTAACTGGAAAAAAGTACCAGAAACTAGTTTATGTCACTACGTGAGTCTTTTACTGTGGTTCAGTATTTGCAGTTCTGAGTAGCTTTGGTGATCTCTGCTGTGGCCATGTTTTGCTGCCATTGCTGGCTTGAGGAGAATTCTGGGTGATGCCAGCTGGCATCAGGAGGTTTCAGGCCCTGATTTCAGGAGGGAGGGTGTCTTTGCATCTAAGCACTTGTGCATCCCTAGCTATTGTCATGGCTCTGTGGGCAATGACCAGCCAGCACAGATGTCACCTGTGGTTTTCTTCTGTCCTGACCCAAAGATGGACCCAAGATCAGGCTTGCTGTAGTGGGCCTGGAGCTATTTCTGCTTCTGATCGCTTTCAGTGGTAGCTGGTATCTGTGGGATGAGATCCAGCATGATACACATTGCAGTTCTTCCATGGAAAAAGCAACATACACCCCCATTAACCACTGAGTTGCTTAGAAGCAGGCAGTAATTCATCCTTATACTGAGGTATTCTGGGGATATTGCAACTTCTAGTCTTCCACAGCCACTTTTCTGGGAGATAGGCATATTTGCGTACTTCCTAATCCCCTCCTTATTCCAAAAATAGATCTATATTTTATATTACTGCACACTTAACTTAATTTGAACTTTTATTTTGCTTACATAGTAATGAAATCAGTTTACATAATAATTCTCTTGTTCCCTTGACAGTCCTTATTGCCTAGACAGGCTGTTTTTTGTTACCTTACATGAACCATTAATTGGAATCTGATGTTCTTGGCAGGAGTACAGTCACAAGCGACAGTGTCATACATCTGTGCTTACTGTGGGGGGAGTGTCTCAATTTTAAAATGTGAGCAGAACTTCCAAATAAAATCAGTCTTAGAAAACAATTTCAGATATAGTCTGATTTTGCAATAGACAGGAAAATAAACAGTTCTTAAAAAAAGAATATCACTGGGAGTCTCTTTTTAGATGCTTAGGTGTTAATATTTTCTAAATTATTCTCTACACGTTTTTGAGGCGAATTACCAGCTTATCCTTTACAGTTGCTATGGCACTGAGTGCGATAGGGTCCTGCTCTGTGGCCAGGCCTCCAGGATATAACGATAATAGAAACAGATACCCACACAACTGCTGCGGCAGCGTTCACATTTTTTATTCTTCATTTCATCTAACTACAAAACAACATCATGGTTATTGTTGAAAACAAGGCGTTAGTTATTTAGCTGCAAAATATAGGGAAGTTTCCTCCTCACGAAGAAGGAAAATCTGTTAACAGCAGAAGATTCATACCGATGGATGACAGTGTGAGGCTTTGCTCCCAACAGGGTTTGACTTTGTGGAAAATGGGAATGTCCTTGTTTCGGACCTGCCACCTACTATTTGGAGGGTGGTGGTGTTTCAGTCATTAAAAAATATCCTCAGTTTGTTCTAGTTTTCATAAACAACTGAAGTGTGCTTCAGAGAGCTGAGAACTATCAGCTCCTAGACCTGATGGCCGTGGTGGCTACCGAGGTGGTCATGAGTGCCCAGAGATCAGATGTCATTTGGGATGCTGAAGTCATCTTTTGATGTACACTCTAATCCAGTGCTGTTCTCAAAAGAAGGAATTTTGTCATCTTCCCTGCTTGGTCACCTTCCCCCTTCCCCACTCAGCTCGTTCCCTGTCCCCGCTGATGTTGACCTTCAGCCTTGCAGCAAGTTGGATTGGGGCTGTCCTCCGCTCAGGGTATACATGGCCATGGGCACACGATAGCCAGAACCCGTCTCTCTCTTCATCCATTTCACGCATCTCTCGGTGAACACTTTGCTAGCCTCTATTAAAAGGGAGCGTAGGGCTTCCTTGCCGCAAGTCCACCCCCCGGTGTCCTGCTTGCTGTCTTTGAAAAGCTCAGCAGTGTAACCCTTTCTCTGAAGGCCTGTTAGAGTTGCTTTCATGGAAGAGATGTAGCCGCTGCCATTTACAGTGACTTCAGTGCCTGCAAAATCCAAAGATCTGGAGTTGAAACCACGAGCTGACACAACCTAGAGTTGAGATAGGGTGGGAGGAATATCAAAAAGTTTTTGAATTCTTTCTAGAGAAGTTAAAATTTTGCTTTTGGTGGAGCAGGAGTGTTCAGGTGCCTCAGGGACCCACCCTGCATTGCTCACGGCCCAGGGAGCCTGCGCTGCTGAAGGGAGTTTCCAAATGTAAATCCCCAGGTCTTGCTCCTGGGTTGTTATTGTGTTATTAGCTTCTTGGAAGTACTGAAAGCAGAATCAGACTGCAAGCAGTCCACAGAAAATGTCCACACGTTGCTTTAGTGGCTGTATGGAGGTATCTGAAGCAGGCATCAAGGCTTGATCATCACACCTGGTGGTAAACCTCATTTGTTTTAAGAAAAGGCAAAAAAATGCAGACACTGTGCCAGGGCTGCTTCAGAGGATGTTTGCCATTGTTTTCCTCGCTGTGCATTCATCTTTCTAGCATCTGTCTTGGATTGACTGCCTCAGAAAAGGCATTTACAAGTAGAGTTGAAGAGAAGTGTACTTAAAAGCCAAATATGGGTTGTTTGTTGTGAAGCAGCTGATAGATAGTTGGCAAGACACCAAAAGGTCCAGACACTAATCTAATTGTTTACAGCTCATGGAGAGATTAATCCACAAGATTGGATGCCCTCATTTCCTTTACGCATTACAATGAATGTGTGAGATGCCAAACCCCATGGGGCAGCAGCAGAAAGAAAAATGGCTCCACTTCAGTGCAGTTATTGTTTCAAGTTTAGAAATATATTGATTCTCTTAGGGTTTTGATAAGAATATAAATGCAAAGTGCCTTGCTTAATGTCAGAGTATTCTTGTTTCCTAGCCTCAGTAAAACAAAGTCGCGCTTTCCTGTTTTAGTGTGATATAATGCTCTGCAAAATTCAGATCAAACATATGAAATAAAATGTATCGAATACACAGTGAAAATAGTCAGGATGCACTGGCTAGCTTGCAAGGGCACCCAGAACTGCAAATGCTCTGCATCTCTGAAGAACGGGCAAACTTAATTGCAGATGTCCAGGCTGGTTAGCCTTGAAAACCTTGGCCACTGTAAGATGCTGTGCACTGGAACAGAATAAACTCTACAAAGGAAAAAAAAAAAAAAAGGCAACCTCAGTATTGCTTGAGTGACCAGCGAGAATAAAACAAACCCTGCTGAGTGGCTGTTGCAAGCAGGATTTTTCTGAAATAGGCTTTCTCTGAACTGAAAGTGGAGCTCATGAGCGAACAGCACTTGTGGGGCTATATCCACTTTGAAGAGGGAATGATTCAGTAAGACAAAAGGGTGGCTATCTGCAGGGTATGCTCCTGCCTCCCTCCACCCCCTGCAAAGGAGCACAGCTGTGCCAGGACATGCTGCCCCAGCAGCGGGGGTACCGCTGGGCAGTGCACTTTGTCCTGGAGAAAGGGGATGTTTCATCCCGATGGTGCCGGTCATGCTGCTAGTGATGCTGAAAGGATCTTGCCTTCTGCCAGCAAGGAAGATTACCGTGACTTTGGCCGGAAGCAAGATTTGGGAAAGCTACCTGGAGACCGGCTAAAGAACGCCTTGGTCTTGCAGACCTGCTAAACTCTGACTTACTGGAAAAGTGGATAAGGTTTCCTGAGCAAAGTGTGTGTGCGTGTCTGCAAGCTAGTGGGCCTGGGAGCTGTTTACTGGTCATGACGATATTTTGTTGATGAAATTTTGCTACAGTTGCAAAGAATTTTCAAAAAGCTAATGGGATTGAGATACATTTATTCCAATGTTGCAATACCTGGCACATTGGGGGGAAGAAAATTAATGTCCTGAACTAGTCTTTGCAGTGTTTCTAATTCCTTGACTAAGCATGTCCTCATATATCATTCTACTTTACCGGCTTTTGGGAAGAAGAGAGTGTTTTGCTAGTCAGGACTTGTTTTGACTTAGTTTTTAATAATATCAGTCAGCACCATGTTGCCTGAAAGTCTGAATCTGACAAAAGTTTAGTTTTAAATAGGTTGCTTTTATGAGGTCATGTGTAGACTCATTGCTCCCAAATCAAGATCGTAAATGTGTAATTTTAATAACATTCAGTGAGAATAAGCATTTGCATATCCTTGGAGAAATTGTTCTGTGCTGCATAGTTCAGCTATTTCAGCCATGATGTGGAGGGGACATTTCAAGATTTGCATGTTGCTTAAAATATTGTGCTTTGCAAGGAAGAGTATAGAAAGAAGTAGTGCAAGTAATTATTATTTTTCTCTAGTGCAGTACTTCTCCCAAGGTAGAGAGCAACAGTACCAAGCATACCCAAAGCCAAGATTTCTGTGGTGCAAAAAACAGTTTGGGTGTTGAGTTCAAAGCTGGTCATCGCTCTGTGTGAAAGCTAAATGAGGGACTGATGAGAGAGAGGTCATTGCATAGCACAGTTTCAGTCCTCTACTTTCTGATTATTTTTTGTATTTTGGGTGTCTTGTGGAGCAGTCAGCATAGGAGGGCCTTGATAAAGGGTCAGCCATGGATTGCCTTTCTGTCTGTCAGAGCCGGTGTTTCTTCTGCAGGGAGTGGAGCGCATTGACCTGCCGGGGCTCAGGAGCCTGCGCACTGCCCGCAGCCTGGAGCAGGGCATGGTGCTGACCATTGAGCCGGGCATCTACTTCATCGACCACCTCTTGGACCAAGCCCTCCGTGATCCTGCGCAGTCCTGTTTCATCAACAATGACGTCCTGCAGCGTTTTAGAGGATTTGGCGGGGTGCGTAATTCTTAACTGGATGTTTTTCTGAAGTTGGTTTTCTGTTTGTTTGCCCTTACTATGTACTTGAGAAGAAATCTTTTTGAAGTTGTAATGTATTGTATATAGGGCTGTTCCTGAAGCAGCACCTTGGGCCATTTGACCGAGCATACAAACTGGAGGGTTTTTTGTTACTTTTAAATGCAGTTTTGTACTTGTGGTACCTGATTAACCATAGACCAATATTTTTCCATGATTGAAATACCCTCTGTCAGCACTGTACACTGACTTGCCAGGTAGGTGTTTTGTCTAATGTGTGAAACGTGTGTTATGAAACTGATGCTGTTTAAGTCAGGGAGGCAGCAGAGAAAAACAGCAGTAATTGGTTTTACTGGATTATTGCCAGAATGGTGTGAAACTTGTACATATAAAACATGTCCCGGTTTTCCAAAGGAATCGCCGATGGTCTTCACAAGCACCTGTGCTCAGGGTATAGCATTGCAGGCTCGGGCAGCGGTGTGCGGGCAGGAAGGTTGGCTGGCTCAGGAGGTAGCTGTGATCTGGGAGATGGTTCCCATGCAGGCAGCTGCTGTGCAAGTAGCGGGGCCTTGTTTCTCCATGCTGTGCAGGGCACGTTTCCCATTCAAAGCCACCGTTCTCACAGAGCGTTTAGCACTTGCAGTGGCTTCCAGTTGGTTTTCGTTTTAGTGGGGTGAGCATTTGAAGGGTGCCGCATTGTTCTCCGAGCTTCCGTATTCACGCACGGAGAAGATAGAGCAGGCAGCTGCAATGCCCCATCCTCCTCATGCCTTTTCTGCTAAGTCTCAACAAAACTAACAATCACTGGCAACGGCGGTGATTTTCTGGTATGAAAAGTCACCCATTAGGAATTGTCTGCTGCTGCCATTGACTAATTTATCACTGTATGCCAGCCATGAGAGGGTAATTACTGTAAGGCTTTTGGTCTGAGCTGGCTTTGAACCACCAACCCTGACAGAAAAGTTGTGTGTGCCATCACCAGTCATGTGAGCCAGCCGGGCTCCTGGGCTGCTGCCTGCGAAGGCTCCCCATACAACGTGTGTGCAGCCTTACCGAGAGACACGGGACTTTACCCTCATTGGTATTTAATTCACTGCTTAGGTTAGGGACGTTATCTGTCTCTGTGTTGTTTCTTTATCAAGACTTGCCAGCCAGCTGAGATACTGGTGAATGAAAGCCAACTAGCTGCATTTTCGAACTGTGAGCATGTTATATATGGCACTGCACGCTGAAGCATATTTTAAAGGAACGCTGTAATGCACTTGTGTAGCTTGACACTGCAACAAAAACAGGTTTAACTATCTTTGCTTTCCTTGTAAACACTCTGTGGGAATTTTTCAGCAGTTGAATTGATTCCTGGTGAGCTTTCTCTGGAAATGCCTAGCAAAGCCCACGTTTTGCCACGACTTGCTGTGAATGCCCACTCCAGCGCTGCAGCTTGAGGCACGCACGTGGCTCATCTGGTGCCTGTGTTTGCATGGAATAGGAGTGACAGCACAGGATCTCTACCTTGATAATAAGTTGCTGGATCAGGCACTTTTGTTCAGAGATTTCAAGCAAAGTCTTAACTTTCTCCCCTGTTTTTTGGTTAGCTTCCTGTAATGATGACTTGTAAGGAGAGCTGGCCAACAAACTTTGCTGAAAGGAGGAGCTGCCCAAAAACAATTGAGCAAAAATCTAAATCTCCGATCCCCCTGTGAACGATACATTTTAATTAGAGAGAAAAAAATAATAATACACGCATACCCTGAGCCAGATGTTGTCACTTGATTTTGTCCAGGAGAAGAATGGAAATAAAATCTGAGGCTGAAGTGCATCTGAATATTTCTGAATTCTACACAAATGCTGAATTATAATGCAATCAAAATGAATTTTTCCATCTTCACAATTCTGACTTGATTCTGCATAAATAGAAGATGCAATTTGTGCTGTTGCAGCATGCTTAGTTATCTACATGCTGGTTCATTCTAGTTTATCCAGAATGAATATTTCTCTCAAAAGCACATCAGAAAACTTTCTCTCTACCTGATTAAAAAAGATCTTGTGAAGCCCAGTGTTTTTCTAACAAATATTAATAGTACACGAGTTCTAGCTAAAGAGCACTCTACAGCCAGTCCAATCTTCCTTTAAGTTTAAAAGAAAAATAGATTCTACAAAAGGAAATTAGTCCATTTCCCTCTGCAGAGCTCAGCACTAATTAAAATGTTCTTAATTTGGTTTAGTTTCATTCACTTCAAAAATGAACTTATATTAACCAAAGTAACACCACTTTAATTCCGAGTAAGACTTGTCCGCACAGGGGATTTGTGGATTTTAATGAATTCACCTTGAATTCATGTCTTTTTTTTGGGCTTTGCATAATTTTCTTGACTGTGACAAGTCTCTGCATTGAGAAGAGAAGCTCTTTTGTCATGCCAGAAAGGGGAAGACTGTAGCCATTTCTTGTAATTCATGCTGCCTGGTATTAGCTGTAAAGAGATTATAAAAGCTGCAAGAGCAGAAAAAGATGAGAGACAACACGAGGTTTTCCTTTGCCCACTCTGCATTGCTACCGGCGTGCGGGGTGTGCGCCGGCGGCACCAGCGCAGCTCCTGTGCACACTCGGAACAAGTCCGTCGGCAGCCCGGCCTTCCTGCGTCCCCGTGACACAGACACCCAGTCTTCATGGCTGTAACTGCTGCTCAGGACCTCGTAATTTGGGCTTTTGCCAAACAAGAGCTGTTCTGGGACACATACAGATCCCTCTAGAGGGAGGCAAGAAGTTTTGCTAGGGGATTTGCTTCTGAGAGTGTGAGCTGCCCTGTCTGAAGCCCTGTAAACTCTTTACTTGCTGCTGAGTTCAGTCTTCACAAGCTTCCTCGGCCAATTTTGGGAAGTCACTCAGTCACATGTAGTTCAGTTCCCCATCTGAAAAACTAAGGTCCAATTTACTGAGGTCATAAATTCTGTGGGGCAAGGGCTGCCGTCGGGCGCTGGCGCAGTGCATGTCCCAGGGCACCTCTGCTCTGCCTGGACTCTGCCCGTGCCGCACTCATAAATGAACAGATGTGCAAATAGGTGTATGTGTATAGGATTGTATATATTGCTCAGGAAAAGTTGCTGATTCCTCAGGGGGAAATACCGACTCCAAATGCTACCCTTCAGGGTTTGACATTTCCATTCTTCATAAGCTGATTACTGATCCATGCAGTTCATATGATGTTTTCTCAAAGACCTAGTAAAACCATTCAATCTTCTTTTGGCCTTAAATATTCAGTCTCTGTTCAGGCTTTATTTTTCCCTAGGATTTGTAGAACTCACACTAGGCTTAACATGTGAAAACTCTATGCAACTTAGAGAAAATGCTGAAAGACAGCTAAATGTTAAATACATTACTTTCTTTCATTTGCAGATTTTTCTCATTTAAAAGTTAAATAGATTTACAAAGCCCAGGACCTTGAAGATCCATTAATGTTACAATATTTTTCAAAACAATAGTACTTCCCTTAGGAACAAATGTTAAACCAAATAAAAAGCAGGATATTTAATTGCTTCTACCTTTGGTTCACAGAGACATGCAGTTGTCTCTGTCCTGATTTTTATTTTTCAGAAGGTTGAGGTCTGTTTCTGGGTTTATGGTGAATGTGTGTTGTGGAATGATATAGTTTACTAGCCAATAAACATTATGCTCATCTGCTTTTTAACATTTCGTGTTATGCAGCAGTAATAATGTTATGCAGCATTTTTTGGAAAAGTTTTCAGTTGTCAGAATGAAATATATAGCTTTCTTTAAGGTTCTGGTAAGAGAAGTGATAGTTGTAGGCAACTCAAAACCAGCAACTAGTTGCTTATAAATCTTCTCTAACCCTTTTCTCTTAAGTTGTCTAATTAACATAATTAGGTTAAAGTAAGAGCAGTTGTTTCTAACCTGTATTTTGCTTATAGCTTATTGCTTCTTTTTGAGCCTGAATGAAGGGACTGTGTGCCTGAAGCTTCTTTTTCCAGCCATATCAGTTGATCTAATAAAATACATGGCCTCACCCTACTAATCTTGATCCTCTTTCATAAAATGTTTATATCTGGACCTTTAAATAAAGTGTGACTGACATGAGGACTTGCTTGTGAATAAGAAGAGGGAAGATGGGCAGCATGGGATGAGAAAGAGTCATTGGGTAGCACAGAGCCTATTCACCTCTATAGGAAACATCTTGGCATTGCTGCTTTGTGTGACGTGGTAACAGGAAAGAGCCTTCCCAACCCTGCAGTGTACCCTAGTGTCCTTGGGTTTGACGTAAGGGCAGCTCTATTTCCTAACCAGTCACCCTGAAATACAGAAGTCGAAGCCTCGTCGTGGTAAGTTTGCTGTATTAAAAATTGTTGGTTAGTCGATGGCTGAGTCTTAATAAGTCCCCTTGGATCATGCATCTGCCTCTGTAGGATACCAGCTATAAAAGCAGACACATGGATCCTTCAGCCAGACAGAAGCACATGTGCTAATTTACTTTGTGGGGTAGCATGTGTGGCCCACATCCTGTCATCATTTCCTAGATGAGTTTCCCACTCTGAGATCTTGCAGCGATAGTATTGCTGCTTTCCACAGCCATAATCAAACAAATGCTCAATAGATACTGTTTTTAAAAAAAAAAAGAGACATGTCACCATTGGTCTTTTTTAATCACATCTGGGATCTGTCATCGTGCAAATCTGGACTATTTAATTGGCCAAAATTGTTTCTTGATTCTCAAAAGCCTTTTATATATATCATCATCCAAAAGAAATGAATGAGTGCTACAACCCCCTTCCCTTGGAAGATAACACAGGAGGCTCTGGGGAGCATGAGTGTATTAGTAAGTCAGGACAAAGTGCGAGGCTGTATATATAGCTGACAGCAGCCCTGGTATTTAACTCCTGTGCTGTCCTTGGCTGTGCCTGCACAACCCTGCTTTGGGACAGTTGGGTCGGTTGAGTCAAGCCACATGATGGTCTGTTGTTGGCATTAGACAGTTGTGCAATCAGGTCTATCTAGATAGATCATGCAACTACCCTTGGTAAGAAAAAGGCATTTTAGGGACAGTCCTGGCATTCCTCGCCACTTCACCTTTGCAGGATTGCATTTTGAAGTATGCCATTGCACGCTGAAAAAGGAAAACCTACCTTGGGGTGTTTGCAGAGCGCCCTGAAGATGCTGATGCAGCTAACCTCACACCTCGGTTTGCTGTTCCTTTAAGCCGTGTCTGATTCCAAACCACTCTGGAGCCCTGAAACAAGCAGCACTGTTGAACAAAGAGCCTGCAAACAGGGACAGCTCTGAGAGCAAGTTTCATAACCACTGTCCCCCACTGGGAAAGGCAGTCCCAAGCCAATGAGCTTTGCCAGGCAGATCCAGCATCTTTTGTCCATTTGGACAGAAGACAAGACCAAATGCTGGGCTCTCCTGTAGGGAAGGTTTTGCAGGTCCTCTGAAGCTGCTTCTTGCTGCTGCTGAGTTTAAGCTCACGGTGAAGCATGGAGGGTGTGAAGGAAAACAGCAAATGCAAAATTTCCTCCCCTTGGAGAACCTGTGTTCCTCTGCACGTGTGTTTCTTTTAGGCAAAGGAAAAATGTGCACTGAGGGTGAGAAGTCTGTCTTCTCTGTTACGGCAAGCACTCATTTCAGGTGAGATTCATCCAGGCAGAGAAATGGTTAGATGCTGGAGAAAGTGCTGGAGCTTTTCTAGGAGTGATGGGTGAGGCACTACGGGAGCGGTGGGTCTGTGTGCCTCCCGCTACATCCCAAAGACCATTTGGAGTTGCTGATGGTGAGCAGGCTGGTGTGGCGGTGCTGGCTCTCACACTTTTCACAGTAATCCACAGCTGTGGATTAATTATATGAACTCCTAACAATGTTTCTCCTATACAATGAGTTGCTGTGTGTGGCACTCCAAACTGATGGGTTTCCCCATCCTTCCCCATTAGGTAACTCTCAGTTCCCTGGCTTAGGCAGCTCCAGCACACCTTGCGCTCTCCTCATTCAGGGGGTCTTGCTTCTCACCTCCTCCAGGATCTCCCTTCTTGGACTCCTTAGCCAGCCCCATCTCTCTTTGTCCATTATTTGTCAATCCTGTCTCACCTCACTGTATCTTCCTTTCCCCAGTTCCTTTCATCTCTCTAGCTCCATTTTCCAGCTCCTTTCCCATCCTGATTTTCTCTTGTGGCCTAGACAGGGCACAGCATTGACAAACACCTTGTCCTGCTTGTTCTTCTCCCTCCCTCTTAGTCTGGCTTTCATCTGCTCTGCTTTCAAGTCAGTCCATCCTCTCAAAGACTGCTGAGGTACTGGTGAAGGCTTGAAACACTGAACTGGAAAACACTAACTTTTTTTTTTTCCTTTGCTAATCTTACTGGTTAACCAGATGAATTGTGGCTGATACTTCTCTGTAGCAGATACACTGGGGAATTTCAGCTCAAGCAGGTGAAGGGTTGTGGAGCTGGCGGGTCTTGGGAAGAGGCGTTCCCCATAGGCAGAGTCAGCTCTAGATTTGGGTGGCCTCCCCTCTGCTCTCAGACTTACTTTTGTGCTAACATTTTTACTTTCCACATCAATGCTGTGCCCAGCTCCATTTTCACTGGTGTGCTTGCCAACATGATGCTTTACCTTTTACCATGTCACCCTGGATTCTGGCATTTCTGCAGAGCTCGTCTGGAACCAGCAGGTTTTTGGCAGGGGCTGGTCCTCCCAGGCAGGCTCTGCCCAGACTCAAGACCTGGCAGGACAGATGCTGGGGGCTGCTGCGAGGCAGAGGGCACAATTCACCTTTAGATGCAATGCGACCATCTTGTTGAATCCTTGGGTTATTTTTTGCTCAGCTGACCACATTGGAAGCAATGACTCAAAAAATCCACCCTGGTAAAATCTGTTCAAGTGCATAGAGTTGTTCAATGTGTTGCCGATTTCCTCTTCTGCAGCAAGGCACCAGCCTTTCAGGCAGACCGAGTGTAAAGAGCCTCGCGGCTCTCAAATTTACAGCTGTCCAAATCAAATGTGTGAACTCAATGGAGTTTGTTTATTTAATTCTGCTTTATAATACACTTAACTTGATACTAAGTAAAAGAAATAATCTGGCAAAGACATCATTAAACAGTTTAGTAAGGACTGGATGACTCATTTTGTTTGAACAAATGGATTATTTTGCAATCAGTAGTACAAATGTTAACCAGCTTTATTTTTAGTTGAAAATGTCAAGAGGTCAAAAACAATTAAGGCAACTGTAAGGTGGGAGTACCCAGAGTTTGTGTTCTCTTGGATTTACACCTTGCTAGAATTGCTTTTATTGCAGCTTAGCAACTTACTAACATTTTTCTGATAAGATAACGGGAAATGACTGTGTAGGCATATTTACTGGTAAGAAGAGATTGGAGTCAAACAGAAATGGAGCATACTTTTCATTTTAACAGAACAAGAGCTGGAAAACAGAGGATCTGCGTGTTCCTTGCATGATTTGAAATGTAGTGATTGTATTTTAAAAGGAATGTCTGACCTGCTTAGGACTTTCTCATCAGCTCAAAATTCAATGTTTTGAGTATCAGCTACAAGCTGTTTCATGTTGCAGTTCCTCCTTTGAAAGTTTATTGTGTTTAGAGAAAAGACAAGGTGATGCTTAAGTGCAATGAGCAGCAAACTGCAGCTCAGCAACAGGACCGCTTCAAGAACAGACACTTTGGGTGTCAGGAGGCACTGCTGTTGAACCTTTCCCTAGCAAGCCATGCACTAGCAAGGCTGGAGGCAAATTCAGGGGAGAATGTTCCTTTTCTGCTCCTGATGTCAGGGGATTAAAATTTATTGGCCCTGTGTAATTACGCAGCATGAGCTCACCAATGCAGCATCTTGCTCAGCCTGTACCCCAGTGACATAGCAGAGGCAGCAACCGTGTCACCACAGGGCTGCTCAGCCGGGGTCACTGGGGAGACTCTGATCCCAGGAGGGTTGCAGGGGCCAGTGGCCCAAGGAGGGTTGGAGCCTACGGAGCTCTGCACCACGGTGCTGGTGGTGATGGGCAATTCTGGTGCTTGCAGTATGTTGCTCTGCCTGGTGTTGCATCAGCACCATGGACTGAAATGTGCCTTGTGCTCTTGCTGCTGGCAGTGCCTCATGTGCTTCTCATCCCCAGCTGGAATACCTTGGTAACCGTGTGTTCTCTGTAACAGGTCCGGATTGAGGATGACATCGCAGTGACGGCCAGTGGAATGGAGCTGCTAACGTGCGTCCCACGTACTGTTGAAGAAATAGAGGCTTTCATGGCAGAAGGCCAAAGCAGTGCCAAGCCGTTTGGCTGCCTCTCCAGCCAAAAGCAGTAAACTTCAGGATGATACTTACTGTCTCACACTGATCAGTCATCGTTCTGATTTAATGCTACAGCACATAAAATAAAATGCATCCAATTCGTAATAGCAAGAGAGGCAGGAAGGCTATTAGCTGGAATGATTCATTCATTAAAAATGAAGGTAGGCGGCTTCAGCACTTGACATCCAGGTAACTCAAATGCTGCTGCTTGCAGTCAGCAGTTTACATTACCAAGTGCCACCTGAATAACCCTGCGGCATTATCAGTGGGGCTTATACTTCTGTCAAATCTCAGCTCAGACATATCTTGCAATTAAATCTGAATTTTGATGATTGGGACTTCTTAAAATACCAAATGGATTATCTGAATGCTCTCAGCAATTGTAACAATCCAAGTCCTTTTTTAAACTTCATCACAAGTACTGCTGAAAACATAGAAGAAAAATCAGCTGTTCTCTGTGGACATAATGACACTTATATTTTTCTTATGGATCTTATTTCAGTGTCAATGGAGTAAGCAGAATCAAATTTTTATTAAAATTCATCCTTGGCATCATTTATGCTCACAACTTTGTGATCATTATGCTCTTCTGCTCCCATTCCTGTTTCTTTATCTGACCTTTCTACCAATTTGTGCTCTGGAAACTTTGACCCTTCATTAGCCAGATTTTTCTGCTCTGGGTAGTGGGTATACTGATCCTTCACACACAGCCCGATGCTTATTAGATTTGTCCGTCTATTTGTTCCTTAAAAATGTAGATTGCTATGGTGTTCACAAGCCTTAGAAATTGCAAGAAGGGAGTTAACTTGGCTGCAGGGCTCAGGGTCACTCGGCAGCATATGCTGTGCAGAATGATAGAGTTATTTTTAACTGTCCAGTGTTAGCCAGTTCAGAATGAAATCATGTAAATTTTATTTGGATACACCACAAACATATTCTTTATTAATGATCATAAAATGATTTTTCATTCATGCAAAAACTTAAATTACCCAGAGAAGCCTTTCTTTACTGTAGGTGTTCACCAGCCTGCAGGAGAATAAATACATTTCTTGCATCATAAAATAGCACTAGTTGCTCTAACTACATAAAAATAATCTTGCTCACTTTATGAACAAATCAAAATTCCTGTTCGGTCTTCAGGCTCTGTTGCACAGTTGGACTGCAAAGCCACTTCAGAACATCCCTCTGCCGTGTCAGGGGGAGCTGAAGTCACAGCAGGATGTCAGGGCCTTCATGGGTCTTACTGCTTGCCAGATGAGGATTTTCCCCCAGCCAGGGATCGGCTGACTTGATCATCTCAGCATCTCGGTTCTGTTGCTCACATCCTGGAGCTGGCACGCAAGCGATGGGACCAACTGTGAGCTTCTGGGTGCCCACAAGCGCCCGTCTTACTTGGGGCGTACAGCACACCCTGGGCTTGGATGGTGTCAAAAAATACTGTGTTGCTGTCTTTGTGCCCCTACCCTGGGACTGGATTTAGGTCTGAAATAACTTCTTTTAAAATTGTCAAATGCGTTTCTCTACAGAGCGCTCTTTTTGTTAATTGGGTTGATCTGTGTGACGAGAACCTTCTCTTTATCTGTAACAGCTTGGTGACCCATTGCTAAATAGGAAACTGCACGTTGGGAGACTACAGAAACACATTGTGAAATAATCCAGGGGACTTCACTCCTTTATGTTTAATGTCACTTTATTAACCAATGAGCCTATTTACATTTTTTTAAAGGTTGCTAAGTGTTGGTTTGTAAGAGGTAAGTGCAGGAGGTCTTGACTGCGAAGGGGAAGGGGCGAGGAGGGGAGGGTGTGAGGTCAGCAGCTTGTATGTGCAACTGCACTAATGCTTCCTTTTGTGGTGACTGCGAGTCGCGTACCTCTGAAACGTAGTACTTGTGCGGAGGGCATCAGGCTTTGCTTTGGTAGCTCTGCAGATGCGAGAATGCAGAAACTACACTGGCACTGCTCCAGACTCATCTCCCCCTAAAACTCGGGAGGTTTTTCAGTGCGAGACGGTGCTCACGGCCTCAGCCTTGTTCCCTCCAAGTCCAAGTGCTTTCCTGTGGCGTGCTCTGAACACACCCATGGGATCGCTCACTGCTTTGGGCACTCCAAAACCTGCTGTTGCTTGGGTTCAATAGCAGTTACTATTTTAAAGTAACACTTCACAGATTTTCAAAAAAAGAGTTTTGGAATTGTTTCAACTAAGCCGTAACCCCAGTTGAGTTAATACACCTTTTGCTGCCTGCCTGTGATTAATCTTGGCAAATATTGGGCTCTGCTGCTGCAGAACAGGTCGAGCAATCTGGCGTGCTGCAGGAGGCAGAACTGGTTCTGCTTCAACATGTACCAGCAAACAAACCCTACCGCCAGTTCTGGGGGAAAGCACTCGCTCACGTAACCGGCTTCTCTGTTGTTCTGGTTGCCTGAGACACGGATGCATTTCGGTCTGGGATGGTGCACCATCTCCTCTTTTCCTTCATAAGCAGGCCCATGAACTTGGTGAATATAAATTTCATCCTTCCTTCCAGAAGTCTGTTCTGTAATTATGATAATTTTTATCCACTTAAGCAAAAAGTGAATTAGAACTTTTTTCTAAATTAGCATGGGGAGAGGGCAGGGAAGTAAGCCTTTAAAAAAAGGCAAAGTGATATCGAATACACTTATAATGTATTAGTGGGGGGAAAATACAGGGAAACTTTTTTGACTACATTAGGATATTTTAGGCTATTAGCTATCATGTTTTCTCAAATGCCTTTTCCCCCTTGGTGCAAACGAATAGAGTGGCACCAAAATAACGGAGTCTAATGTGGAGCCAGTTTGTGTGTTTAGAAAGGTCCGAGCACTTCTGAACTGATGTATTTAAATTGCTTCAGCTCCCTGGGGTTGGATGCAGTGTACTATCTGCTATGCCAATTACGCTGCTGCAGCTACAGGGTATAGTTAAAGTGGTAGAGCCTCCTAGTGCTCATGGAGGCTAGAGTAGATCTGTTATCCTGGTGCATAAGTGAGAAAAGGGGACTAAGGTTTCCTGGTGAAATGTATAGTGTTGTAATGCTCCTTCTTGTAGTGACAGGCACTGTATCTAGTCATACACTATAGTTGTTGTTGTTAAGAAAAAATGCATCAAAAGGAAAACTTGAACTTTTAGAGGCCTGCACTGAAATTTTCTTGTGTAAATGTGTATTATTCCAGCCTTTCTTTAGGAAGAAGAGAGAATCGTCCAAGTCACCTAGGTATGGGTGTTCTCCTTGCAGTGGAGGGGTAAGATTTGAGGCATTTTGCTGTCACACAGCCTGAGCTGCTGCACCTTGGGGCAAAGAGAGGGAAAGCCTCACCTCTGCCTTTGCTCCTCGGAGGTCTGAGACAGCTATTTTGGCAGGAGAGGGCTTAGAATAATAGATTAACACCTTTCTTGCAACCAAACTCTCACTGAGGGTAGATTTAAAATAATAATTTGTTGCAATCCTGGGTACGTGGCTTCACATATTAAAGTGATGTGCTGCACACAGCCTACATGCGTCCCTAGACAAACAAAGCTACTGCAGAGACTGCTAAGCCAGAAATGTCATTGTGCAAGCAAATGACTTTTCGTAGCTCAGTGGTTTTGTTTTAAACAAGAAGTGGAATCAGAGCTGTCAGGAGTAACAGGTGGAGAAGTCACTCTCCAGAGCATAAAAAAGAGTATTATTCCCATTCAAAGAGATTTAAAAAAATAATTTTCACCAAAATCACATCAGCCTGTCAAACCAACTGCAGGACAACAGGGCCGTATAGTCCCAAATCACAGCAGACAACCACGGAGGAGACTAGCTCATGCCTTTTGCACCAGAGATGCTCTCAGGTCATCTTTTTCCTCATAGTTTTTGGTGTTCTGTTTTCACACACACACACCCCCCTTTAATTGCAGTACATTTTCAGTCTTAAATTCTATTTATTTTTTTGTTAAATCAAGAATTCAGCTAAAACTGTAATGAGTTTCTGATTCTTTGCACTGAGTGGAAACCTGAGTGGAAGACACGAATGGAGACTGTTGCACTGATTTCTCAAAGATAGCTGGTTGAGGTGGGTGCCTCTGCATTTGAGGGAAATAGAAAAAAGGGTCAGGAAAAATGAGGCCAGCTCTAGAAGCAAAAGGTTTTTATTAGCTTCTGATATTTCAACCCTATCTACTTAAACTGCAGCTAGAACCAAAAAACATCTTTGTAAAAAGACTACCATAATCCAAAACAATCCATAAAAGTTTTCTGCATGTATTAAAAGTTTAAATTCAAAAAGAACTTTTCAAGGTTTCATTTTCTAACAGCATCTTCATAGAGATAATATCCAAGTTCTCTTCCTAAGTACAGATACAAGGCAAACAAGCATCCTACAAAAGAATCTATGGAAAAAGGTAGTGTAGGAGGGAAATTAAGACAGTGTAATAATCCACTACCCAGACACACAGGTTAAATGTAACACAACCATACCATCAATGAAATATTTAAAAATGAAAATAAATTAAGGTTACATCGAAGTTCCGGCTTTACTTTTGTTGTTTAAATCCTCAATATAGTACATACCACTGCATTATGAATCATGGCAAAGACTTAGCACTAGCATTTAAAAAGTTGCTATAGAAAATCTTTTATGAAAATAAAACAAGACCAAAGATACTTGTTCACACAACTGTATGATGGCTATAGAAATTCCACTGAATCAGTTATTCAAACTAGGGCCACTTATTTTTTAAATCACTGTGAATTTCTGTAAGATCTTGGTTGTAAATCTGAACAGCCATGATAAATGAAGATGAATGTCAACGAGCAGTGATCCATACATTCTGGCTGAACAGATGCTGTCTTACCCCTTTCATTGCTTAGCCAAGCTGCACATTTTGTTCTCCCCGATACCTGCACCCCAGCAAGAATGCAGTTTTGCAGAGCATAGTTTTTTGGTAGCATTTTGACATCTTTCTGAAAACCAAAATCTTGTTCTTATAAGGCCCCAGTCACTATATGAGCAATGTGAACACAGCCTTAAAAGGCTTTGTCAGTGTGCTGCTTTCTCTCTTACACATGATGCTTCAGACTCATTTGCCATTTGTAAGTCAACTGCTTGTATGTATCATCATAGTATATTGCTATTTTTCTAGAAAACATCAGTAAGCATCCCAGCTCACTATTACTACACCCTTCCCATTAACTGTAACTGGACAGGGAAGACCTAAGTGGTGCTTTATAGGACTTGCTCTACAGATTTAAAGTAGTCCACCAAACAGG